ATACGTCGGAAGCAGACGGAGGAGGTAGACGGCGAGAGCCTCGTCGGCGTGGAAGTGCCCGCTAGAGAGAGATGACTGGCATCAGCTGCCGACCATGACGCGGTGACGGTGGGAATTCAGCACACAACGGAAGGACACAGCATACTTGTGAGTCCCGATCAGAGGAGGCGAGGTTTTCAACTTCTTCACAGCGGTTTCTTCGGCCATTTTGAGCCAGTTGCGGAGTCGGAGCATATGGCGCGCTGATGATGATGTCGATTCTTTGGCTTTAGGGCTGCCGTTGAGGGCTGTATATGCATCAGGTGAAAAGTTGCTGCACTAACCATATTGGGAATGGTGCACATGGCTGAATTCAAAGGATGTGATTGGTTAATCAATACAAAGTGAAAACAGTATACAGCGGTATATCAATGTTGCATGTACCTCACATTCGAGGGATACTAGTAATATTACTGTCTTCTTCATTTTCCTTTTGATTCTTGTCAAAGAGATTCTTGATTTCTGCAAACAGATCAGAGTGACAAACGAGTACATGTATGAAAGGATGAAAAAGGTCACATAACAGCCATTGTTATCACCTAGATAACATTGAATCTGCGTTTTCTCTTTAACATAGTTAGCAACCATGGATGTGGGACAAGCTGCAGGATCCTAAACAGTAGATATGTTGTTTATTTTGCCTTTATGAAAGTATGCCTGTGTGTTATGGACAAGCAACAACAGAGAGCAGTAAGTCTGGGGGCATAAGGGGGGGGGGGAAGGATCCCTTTGAAGTCCAACTTCTCGTAGGCGAGATTCATATCGACGATGCCGAGGAAGCTTTCTGAACCTAGATAACTAACGGAAGCTGAATTTTGCAGATCTGATTCTCTGGAGGATCGCCCTGTGAGATGTGTTTCCATCCAGTGTTATCATAGCAACCACAACCTGATGTGAGTGCTGACAAAAGCTCACAGACAGGGAAGTCCCTGAAATATTTCTTCTTTTGGTCATGTCTAGGACCCTGATACGCCACCGTTCGTCGCACATATTATTATTATGATCTAGAGACCCCACGAATGGTAGTCTGCATGCAATGATCCTGCGCATGAATAGGCATGAAGTTTGTTTGTTTCACACTTTGCAACAACTACGTCAACCAAAAAAAGGATGGAAGAAAACAATTACAACCTTTCCCATGATACGAGATACCGTCAAGCTTTAGAAGTCATCTTTATTCACCGAATTATATTTGATAGCATAGAAAATATCTTTGATATCCAATATTAGCTTTCGAATTCGCATCCGATTCTGCAATTCCATCGACGTCTCGGCAAGCTGTTCTGCTCTCAGACACAAAGACTGGCAATCAACTGTGGCAGTGGATGGAATACGTTCGTGTTCGAAAATCAATTCATGAATTCTCTGGCGCCAGTAGGACACTGGAGTCGACAATCGCAGTCCATCGACATAGTTTGAAACGTCACTGCAAGCTATCAACAAGTATCCCTGCTGAAGAGAGGAAGAAGGTGGATTCTACCATCGTGGTCGAGGTCGCAGCTTCCAGATATAGTTCGGATCCCAATTGGGTAAAGTGCACTTCTTTCACGTGATCATTGTATGCTGCATACCATCTACTCGACGCTTATATGCCGTCGTACAGAAAAGAACAGTATTCTGATCATGGTAATTATGTTTTAAACAAGAAAAGAAATAGCAAGTAGCTGAAATAGAGGAGTTTCGAATATTGCTTTGCCTCACTATTCCCTGTTCTCCGTGCATTGGCATATTCTCCGTACGCACGAGGTCAGCCGACCGACCAATCGGAACTCGGATCGCGTCTTTCCCTTCATGGACTATTAATCCATGAATATACCTACTCTTCATCGACTTATCTGACCAGAACTCGATTGAAGTAGCCACATAATGGCAAGAAATGAGGAGAGACGGCGCAAGGAAACGCCGGCCCGAAAAAAGGCATGCAAGCAGTGCACGCAGGCCAAGGTGCGCTGTGGGCACCAGAGACCGCGGTGCTCGCGATGCGTATCGCGAAACCTGGACTGCGAATATTTCACCTCTCCAGGCCGGTCGTCGACCTCTTTAAACACCGCTGGACCAGAGCTGCTTGACACACCCGTTTCTCTCAGCAACACAAGCACCTTTGACACGGTACCATTCCCGGTGGCCAGCACCTCCGCGCAGGTCGCCGGTACTTCCAGTACTACTACTACTAGTCCAGCATCACACCCTCTAACCAGTCCTATCTCGCGACATGCTCCAGTCTCCGAGGCAGACGCATCGGTCTTGGATTTCACTAATCTCGATCTAGTCCCCGTGGCAGACAGCGTCGAGATCCAGAACCGTTGGCTGAAATCCTTCTTTTCATCCGGGGACCAGATCCCTCGGAAACACTTCCACCCTCACACCATCCAGTTCGCGTCGTGCGTTCTGAGATCGTATCCAAAGTATATGCTGCGAGATGGAGGGATGCCTCCGTTCATCCATCCCCTACAGGTGGACAGGAGATGGCTTCCGGTGCCGTTGGCAAACTGCTACAGTCTTGTCCGGCTGTGGGAAACCCGCGTCCAGGGCAGCGAAGCCATCGTCATCGATACAGTAAAGCGGGAGATGGAGCGATTGCTCTCTGAGGTCAGTTAATCTGCTTTTTCATTAACCTGCCTCTGAGCTAACAGAGTACCTCCCCAACAGCACAGTTCCTACAATGAGATGGATCTTCTCGCTGCCTTCCAGGCATATCTGATCTACGTCATGCTGGCATACTTTTCGCCCATCGGAGATGGGAATCTCGTCGATCATTCTACGATCATGAATCTGCAGGAGCTCGCGTGTCGAGTGTCCTCCAACGGTCTCTTGTGCGCCGCCGAGCTGTCGCATACGCGGCCGCGCTGGGAGTCCTGGCTCGTGGCGAGTGCGAAACGACGCACCATCCTCACGATGTACCTGTTCAGCAACATTTTCAATGCCATGAATGACATGCCGGTCTATCTGGCCGTTGAGCTGAAGCACATCCCGGTGTCGTCGAACAGGCTGCTCTGGGAAGCCCCGGACCGCACTGGATGGGAAGGAGAATACGATCGACACCTGTTGGTCTGGGAGGACGGAGAGTTTTTAACTTCAGAGCTCTGGCGATCCCCGGAGACGGGCACACCGGCGCGACGGGAGAGGATTGACCGATGGCTGCGCACAGCGGATGACTGGGGGATAATGCTGTTTGCGACAGCGGCGCATCTCCATGGATGCTAATCCATCCTTATCATTATTAAATTAAACTTTAATTCATAACCGCTATTAATATATACAGAAAGAATAACAAAATAACGAATCGAATCGAATCATGGCTCGGCCATGATGGGTTTTTGAAGTGCATGAACATCACGTTTTATCCGCATCCAGCGGAAGGTCTTTCCAGTACCGGCTCTGCTCTTTTGCCCGTTGAAAGTCCTTTTCGTCCTGCTCGAGCTCCATTCGAAGACGTTTGGCTTTCAGTTCGTACTCGATTGCTTCATTTCTCTTTTTCTTGATGCGGAGTTCCATCAACTTGAGCTGGATCCGCTCATCTTCACGCCGCTCTTCCTCACTCACACTAAGGCTTGGTTAGTATTGCTCATGCATATTATGGACGAAACCTATGTTGTCTGCGGGAAATAACATACTTTGTTGATTCTAACCAATTTCGAACTAATGAATCAGAACGCGATGGCAACGTCCCCAGCTGCGGGACATCACGAGCTGGCGTGTCGTCTGAGGGAATATTAATGGGCCCGTTATCAATCTCAACGCTCGGGGAGGATGACTCGACCTCGGAGTGTTTTCGTTTCGATGGACCTACTTGGACCGTATGTCAGTTATCACTTCTCGTGCTGAATCTCAAGACAGACTAGGGGAGGTGCGAAACAACCTTCACTGTTAATCTGCTGCGGAAGGGTCGTTGACTGCGGGGTTGCTGCTGGTGGTGGAATGGTTGTTCGTTGTGGAGGAGCTTGAGGTTGTGGAGGGTTCGCAGGATAGCTGATGATCGTTGGTTCGGGAGCAGGCGGCCGTCCGGCCGTGACACAGCTTTGGTAACGGCCCATAATCGTCTTGTCCTCGTTCCACGACCTGGATCCGATTAATCAGTAAAGTAATCGTGAATTCTGGTCATGCTTCATACCATTTTATGGTTGGCAGCAACGACCGGATATGTTGCAGATGGTCACCGATGTGCATTTCTTCTGCAGCAGTCTTTCTTCGCCGGAATGAAATATAAAGCGCTGAAGGCATCGACGAAAAGTGAACATTTAGTCCAGCAGCAATGACGGGGTCTTTTGTATTCTGAGCCCATTGCGCAACTTTCTCGTTGGTAGACCCTAAATCAACAGTTAGCATCCAACACAGAGTCCGAGACCCAGATGAAGAAGTACCAATCAAGAGCTCCGACATCCTCTCAAACTGCTGCTTCGACGAGCAGTCCATGATACCAGCCATTTGATCCCACAGCATTACGTTGCTAACTCGGGTCCCCACCACCTCAGTGACAGTCTTCAAGAAGTGTGGCTTGCAGAACAAGATGGTGTGCCGCAGTTGCCAAGTAGAATCGCGATGAGCCGGGTCAATTTCCGACAGATATTGGCCAAAACCTTGTCAGAAACGGATTCAGTTAGTCACTGTCCCCCACGGAAAATACTGTACCATGTCTTACCAGTATAGAGGTCTCGCTCCATATCAATGAGAACTGACCGATACCCAGAACGATGAATATGATGGAAGCAAATCGATCTGTCATATCCTGTTAAATATCGAGCGAGTTCAAACACTCGATGAAAGAGATGACAGAAACTCTTAGAACCCTTCTGGTCGGTGAAAACTCTCACCAATGGCAGTGCCATTTGACCTTTAACAATTAGCGAACATTCAAAATAAACAAATTTAATACAAAAGAAGGGAGAACAAAAATAAAAATCAGAGATTTATGGAAGAGAAGATGACGAAAAAGGGCATTAATTTACTTACCAAAGCCACCCGCTTCCTGGCATACCGCAAATACCACCTCATACAGTTTGTCCTGCCTTAGTTGTCTCGCCTTGATATGTACCTCGAATTCTTTCGCAGACAGGAGAATGTCTAATTGCTCCTTCAGGGCGCAGATGATCATCACCCCATCGTTATCTTGGTGCACTTCTTGGATATATTCCTGCGACGAATCACGTGTTCAGTCCCATACGAAATGAATCTACGGGTAGATTGGGGATAACTCTGCTCTTCGCTTACCTTGGCTGAATCGTCTCGGTCTAGCTCTAATAGAGTAGTAAGGTAATAGTGTGTCCCTAAATACCGGAGTAATTTCTGTCTCTCCAAAGCAGCCGTCAAGGGATTCCCAGTTGTAATCCGTTTACGGATATCTGAGATACTGAGATCACTGTATTCGGCCGCGCAAGACGCTTCAATTGCAGGCGGTTTCAGGAACGCAGCTAACAGAGTCAATAATAAATCTACCATGATACGCGCCTTCCTAGCACTTACGCAACTTATTGTTAGAAGACTTTGTCTTGGCAATGAGTTGGATGGTTCTCTCAGTGAGCAACGGTGGAGCACGGACCGGCATTGGCGGCATATGCTGGTGAACGCCATGAGAGACGAACAAAATGTATGGACGAGCCTGGATGTCATAAGGGATCATGACTTGAAAGATGACATCACAAGGTTGCTCTTGGAGCTTTCCAGCCCCTGGCAAATGAGGTATTTCTGCAGGGCTTTTACTTAACACTTTCTGATCTGGGAAGAAGATCGCAACGACTTACTGCAACTGGTGAGGCGGGTGGTTGTCGAGTAAACCATATCACAATTATCCAGATACAAGGATGCATCTAGCCCGAAGACCTCCTGTGCGGTTTTAAGATCAAAGCTCGGAATCTCATGCACGCGTTTCCAATAATGACCGCTCGGATCGCTGGGAGAGTTGACACATCGGATACATGGATCCGTTTGCCCTTGTTCATTCTAGAAATTTGGTCAAAACAGGATCACAAAAATAGTAATACCTTGCACGTCCTGGAAGGGACTCGGAGTCGGAGGCATACCGCATCGGGTTGGTAAATCTGTGGCCTGCAGTCCGGTCTGGGTCGTGGACAAGCATAGCCATTCTGGAATTGTAACTGAAGGGACTTGAAAAAACTATATCGTTAGTAGCAATGATTAGTGATTTATCAAATGACCACTCGGAGGTACGGGATTTGGCCACCTGAAGGCATTGGCGCGGGATGGATTTGTTTGGCACAAGTCCGCCGCTTGCTGACTGCGTTTGAGATACTTAAGCAAATCGTCCTTGAGAGACGTGTGGCGTATTGCTTTCAGATCCTCGTTGAAAACGTTGCACGTTTTGATCCCAGTGCATTTGAACCTGTGCTTTACTACTTTGGCATCCAAAAAGTGACAATATATTGGTTTTGGTGGTGATATGATTTTCTTGTGATATTGAATCTGTTGCTACTATTAGCTCACTCTCGTAGCAATGAAACTACCACAAGCAGGTTTGGAGAGACATACCTCATGCATCAATTTTGAGATGGAGCTCGTATCTTGACCACCCACGTAAACAACATAGGTAAAGCCATAAGGGTCCGTTTCGGGATACTCAGGCAGACTAGCAGTATACTCTAGTTTCAAAGTAGAAGTTGGTCTGTGCGAGGCATTTGTAAGAGGTAGAAGTACCACGGGATCCTACATAAGCCAAATAATCAGTTTCTAACTGATTGGAAGCTGAATTAAAAAAAAATATTCGCGTCTGCTGGGACATACTTGCACATAGTGAGGCAAGTTGCCATTCTTTGGAGGTTCTTGCGACTCTTGAGGTTCCGGTTCGTTGCGCTGCTCGGGAGTCGCATCAGCACCTGGCGTCCCTTCGCAAAACAAAGATGACAAAGAATTCTCATCCATCACAGGAGGATGTACACCGCACGATATTTCGGCGCAGGTGTATTTCAGTCCATACAGCTTAAATTCGATTCCCCCAGCTCGAGAGACGGCCGTGGTGTGAAAAAACGAGGGAGTCTGGCAGCACGGGCGTCTTGGTCAACGCCCTGTATATCTATCTCACTAGGCGCGATCGGAATGGAGGGCGGGCACGAGCCACGAACACAACGGCTCTCACGTGATAACGCATACTCCGTACGGCCTGAAAGAAAGAAGGGCGTACAAATAAAAATAGCTTCATTTCTTTATCACACCCATTCCTTGATGGTAACATACAGGGATGGCCTTGAGGAAACACGGCTTCTATTCTTGCAATCTACGCGTCACCTGAACCCAAGTGCCGATTTGATATATCACGTGACCAGCTGTATCTGGAAATCTTGCATCGAGGTAAAATTATATTTTAAGTGTAGATACTAGATGAGGCAAAACAGACGTTATGCCATTGAGCTGCACATGCTTGCTGGACTACAGTGAACCGAGGAAAATTTCGTGAATGTGTGGAACCAAGTCAATGTGTAATAATTATCGAGGGGCGCCTAATTTTAAAACAGCGACCAATGTGGGACCATGCCGTTGAAAAAGGGGTAAAGCGAAACTCGAAAGGGGAATTCCAATCGCAAAAAAGCATAGAATCTCGGTCAAGCTTGATCCGAAAGACTAAAAAGCATCCACAGATATGGAAACAGAGAAGGGGGAAAAAGGAAACCGGAGAAGCACGGAATGGAGCTGGAAGGGAATGACTGATGTATAATGAGACCGTCTAAACCCAGCATCCCTGTTCCTGCCGTGGCACTCCTGCCATGTCCTTCTCATAAACCATCAATTCACAGAAGTAAGAAAGACACCGATAGACCACAAAGAGACCATTCCATATCACCATACTACATTGCAAAACAGAAATTCGTAGCGGTGGGCGTTTCGTCTTCTCCGAGCTGGCATTTAACAGCATCCCTGCTTCGTCTCCGGATCCTGCGACTTGTCGATCTCTATCACCTGGCGACGCTCGCCAAGTGGGTTCTGTCCCGGCTCGCCATGATCCAGGGCCTTGCTGGAAACGATGCGGTAGATTTCTACACAAGAGCACCGTCAACAGCTATTCACCTGGCCACCAAGAAAAATGGGGGAACCAACCTGTGAGAATGTTCTGGAAAGCAAGCTCCACGTTGCTGGCATCGAGGGCAGAGGTTTCGATGAAAGACAGGTTGTTCTCGCCTGTTCACGTTAGCACCAGCCGCTGAGATGCGCCGACTAAGCATCGACTTACTTGCAAACTGCTTGGCGTCTTCTGTCGGCACGGCACGCAAGTGTCTCAAATCACTCTTGTTTCCAACGAGCATGATAACAATGTTGGAATCGGCATGGTCACGGAGCTCTTTCAGCCACCGGTTGACATTCTCGTAGGTCTGGTGCTTGCTGATGTCGTAAACGAGCAACGCACCGACCGCACCGCGGTAGTAGGCAGATGTAATGGCACGGTATCGCTCCTGACCGGCAGTATCCCAGATTTGAGCCTTGATGGTCTTGGAGTCGACCTGGATGGATCGGGTCGCAAACTCGACGCCGATCGTAGACTTCGAGTCAAGGTTGAACTCATTTCGAGTGAAACGACTCAACAGGTTCGACTTTCCGACACCGGAGTCTCCAATAAGGACAACTAGAATAAAAGGACTGTCAGTAACGGGCCCCGTCAAAGGGACAGCGGGAAGATTATGGTTTGACGCAAGGGACCAAGGGGGGGAGAGACGGTACCTTTGAAGAGAAACTGGAGAAAAAAGAGTCAGAACATAATCCCAAAAATTTCAGAGGAATTGGGAGCATGAGAAATAACTCACATCATATTCGTCGTTCGCCATGATGAAAGTTGGTGCAAAAAGTCAAGGTCGATTTGCGGGTTGAGATAGGGACAATGTTACAACGTGGCGGAGACAGGTCGTTGAAAACAAAAAGGTACAGCTGTGGAATGAAGACCTGGATATCACAGACAATAAACACCTGCCGTTCAGAGATATACTTGGGTCACAGGACTCACAGGGGACCAGACAGGCAGACTGTGCTTTGTGGCAGGGAGCACAAATACACACAGCTTGATGCCTTGCAGGACGGTGACCGAAACTCCGTCCGATTGAAGATAGCGCTCACGTCACGTGATGCAAGCTGGTGCTCCGACACGAGATGGAAGAATGGGGAAAGTGGCACGAGTCCCAAAGAAGAGCCGCGCCACAGTTTTCGCACCCCTCGCCATGGCTTTCTCTAATCCTCGACGTCCTCAGCCCGACCTCACAAACCAAATGGCAATGGCGAACAATGCTACGTTGTCATATATCAGAAAATACGCCGGAGACAAAGTCTCCAACGACGAGATTCCGCCTCGCACAGGAACGCCCCGACGCGCAGGCTCCGGCGCCGGTGCCAATGCGGCAAAAAATGAGGAACGAGGTTCTAAAAAAGCGGAAAGGCGCGGTCGACCCAAGAAAATCAGCGACGACCTGATTCAGAAGATGATTCAAATGCTGGAGACCTCTTCGGGTGAAGTTTCGTGGGAGGAGCTGGGACATGCGGTTGGCGTTGAGGGAGTCCATCTCCAGACGATACGCAATTATATGGTCAGAGAGGGGTATTGCAAGCGGATCTCCTGCCAGCAAAAGTGGCTCACCCGCAAGATCCGGGAGACGCGCATGCAATATGCTCTCGCTCACCAGCATTGGCAGAATGAGTGGCGATCGGTTCTCTTCAGCGATGTAGTCAACTTCGGCCTGGGTGCCAGTCGTAAGGCCAGAGTCTTCAACCGGAAGGATGAAAGACTCTGCGAGGACTGTCTGCAGTCCCGGGAAGAGGTCGACAAGTCTTTGTTCCACTGTTGGGCCATGGTGGGCTACGATTACAAAAGCCCGCTCGTCTTCTATAATACCAGCGGCACTGGCGGTGCGGTTCTTAGCCAACAAGATTATATAACCCAGATCCTGCGTCCTCATGTTCAACCCATTACGTCCACGAGGCGGGTGATATTCTTGGAAGATGCAAATGGAATTTACGAACACCCGAGCAGTGGACGGAGTCTTGTGCAAGCCTATATGGATTCCTTAAACCTCCCATGCCTCCGCAATCCTCAAGCCTCACCGGACCTCAATATCGTCAAGGATGTATTGCTGCTTCTCAAGAAACGGCTCCAGAAAAGGATAATAAACGATGAGATTCAGCTGAGAGCCGCAATTTTGGAAGAATGGGACAAAATCACGACAAAGGAGATCAACAAGTTGGTGGATAGCATGAAGATGAGGATGGAAAAAGTCCTCCTGAGGAAAGGAATGCCGATTTAGGCCTAGGTGTCTCGTTTCTTATCCATAGGAGTCATAATGGACTGTTCAGGACTAGGCTGCTACACAGATCCCATCATGGAGAACAGGACTTCGGTGCTCTTTTGTGACTCGTTCACTGAAATTTTTTTATTTGCTCATCGGCAAGCCGATAGTCTCATTACATTGTGGAGATGACCCCGCAAGCCGGAATCCCCACTTTCTGATTCTCAACTGCCAAAGCCCGGAGGAACTTACGTGGGAGCCCAGGTTTCTTGCGTCGGCATGCCTGAGCAAGATGCAATGACGTCTGAGACTAGATATCCGATCTGGTCACTTTCTGCAGCAAGCCTGCCCGTCGCAGCGTGGACTTTTAGGCTTCTTGGCAAAGCCTTCACTCGACTGTATATACACTGTCAGCCTCACCAATGCGCTTTCTGGCTGTCAGCAACGACATGAGCCCATGCTTTTCAACCCGGAAGTTTACGACTTCACTATTGTGGCTAACCAGGTGGCCAGCAGCTCAAGGATAGAGGACCATGTCCGAATCTGCCTGACCTCAGACCCAGTAAGATACTTGGTCTACTTTTTTTATGTACCAGATACGAAGTATCTAGGATTAGGGGCCATCCTCTTCGATTCCCCCAGACGATACCGCAGAGTGAAGTTTTCTGGTTGAGAGGCCCCGAAGAAAATAAATCGGTATGCCAGTAATATGTGCATGGCTCATCGAGAAAGAAGAAATATCTCTTACTGGGGCATTGGCCAGAATTAGGCCAGGAAGACGAGGAGTTGAAGATAATTGACACTAGATTCTATCTAGAAATGACTAACACTAGGACTTCGGGCTATTTCATACTTGTATGACTCTTTTCAGATTTGATATCAGGCATAACATCAGACTTGAAGACGGATTGCTAAAAATATATATATAATAGCAATTACCGGAATCAGCTCTGACTGGAATCTGGTAAACGACTGACTTAGAGTTTGAAAAATAACTAGAACTAATGACAAATCACATAGCTCTTGTTTCTTGTTTCTTTTTTTTGTCCTACGATCTTCCAGTTTTAGGATTTGATTGGATTATTACAATGCCAGTGGCATCCTCGTATGCCGTATTTTTACCCCGCTCTTGTGTATTTGAAACATTCCAACTTCTCACAATCCCGAAGTAAAATAGACAAATTGACTACTTAAAATATTCTGTGGATTTCTAATGCATATAGACATATACAATGCAGTCAACAAATACTCAGCGTCATTTAGAATGATTGTTTTGTACCATGGCATGTTGCTAAGTCATCACCAAATGTGGAGAGCGCGACCTCCAAATCTCTTTGTTTGGTGAAACTATCACAACAACAGGTAGCAGAGTTCTGCAAAGAGTTCTGTAATAAATCAGCTATTTTCACAGCTCATGTGTTCTATATCACTGGTCAGTTTACAGGTCTCTTTCTTTTCATGCAGTTGCCATCTGCCTGTTTCTGGTTGGCTGTTTGCCATGGCAATACACGCTTCGTGTTTAAGAGTCTAATGACCCTCAACAAACAAATTTGAGCTTGAAATCAACAACTTCTCACCTGCTGTTCTTTCTGGACTCTTTGATCTCTCTCCCACCAGTTGGATTCTTCCCCTCTGGGTGGTTCACACCTGAATGTGTTACATGCTCACTCAGCGGCTTGTTATGACCCATGGAAGCCTCTAACTCAGGGTCGATTGAACCCGATCCAATGGATCTGGATCCTCCAGAAGGGAACAGTGCCGCTGTTACACTAGTCAGAGTCGAAAATGATGATGACGATGATATCTCTTTAACATCAACCGCGTCCAGTGAGAAAAAGTCAGAGTATGAAGTTGAGACTGTCTATGATGAGACAGAAGTGGAAGGGGAGACCAGATACCTTGTCAAATGGGCAGGATATCCTGATGAAGAATGCACATGGGAACCAGAATACCATTTCAATGACAAAGTGGCTTTGCAAAACTGGTATGCGAAACGAAGGGCTATCGAACGTGGCGAGCTGCCAGCCTTTAAACGCGAAGGTTGGGAGAGGAAGCGAATTGCCTACGAAGAGGCCAAAAATGAGAGGAAGCGGAGACGGAGAGCAAAACGGATCAGGCTTGGTCTCGCTCCATCTTCAGGAACAGACGATGAAGAGTTTTACGAAGAGAACCCCAAGCCTTCTGAGACTGGGAAAGATCGAAGCCCAGCTCAGTCTGATTCAGAAGGCTCGGACGAGCCTATTTTTCGACTGGCCCGGAAGCGTCCTCGTCCTTCTTCGGCGCAGGCTCAACCAAGCCAACCCCGGAATCAAAATAGCAGGCCTCAGGATTCGTCAAATCACAAGGAAAAAGATCTGCGTTCTCCGCTCTCCAAGCGACCGCAGCAGCCTGCTGTCAGACAGCCTGAATCTGCAACTAGGACAGACCCAAAAAGTGCTTCCACCATCAAGCGCCCTACTGCAAGGCGTTCAGTAAGTGTGAGACCTCGTCTACCTGCTGAGAAACCGGTTTCCTTTGGCACATCAAAGGGTCCGGGTCAGAGGCGGGACCTCGCCTACGTCGTCTTTCGCTCCCGCGCTCAGCGAGCAGAGGGCAGACAAGCCGGTGAGATGAAGATGTGGAAGTGCATGTCGACAGTACGCAAATACGGGCAAGCGGCTCGGAATGAACCAGAGCCCAATGCGAGCCAGCTGGTGCTGATGCGACCATCAGAGTGGACGACTCTGGCGGAATCCCAAGCCTTGAGGCGTCCAAATTGGAAAGACACAGACAGTCTGTTTGTAGAACAAGATGACGACATAACGCAACAACCACCACAGAGGCATCCTGCCAATTCTCATCCATCTCCACGGCGTTCCGACGTCCGCACTGGTGACCTGGCTTCGAGTCACGAAGGTTCAGCGTCCTCAAACCCACCAACACCAGTCTTAGAGCAAAATGCGAGAGGAAATGCTTCTAAGGAAGGCCGGCGTGTTTCCTTTCCAGGGACGACCTCGATGCCGCAGGATTCGGAAGGATGGCGGTCTGCGAAAGTGGTTGATGAATCTGGAAACGTGATACGTCGACATTGGAAAAGGGGAGAGCTTCTATCACAGGTTTATTACGGGACCGACAAGATCAAAGTGGGCGATGTGAGAGTGTGCAATCTTCCAACTGACTCGTTCAAAGAATTTCTCAAGCTGAAAGCTGGCCATCGTCTTGAACTTTGGTTTCAGGAATTGTGGAGCATAGAGCAATATCATTCTGTTTTCAGCGGGGTAAGAGTTCTCGGCATTTCCCACAGCGTAAAACCGGTTTCTGACAATTGGTCTTATAGAATGGAAATGGCGTCGTCTTCCATGCCTGGATCGAGCGATATGATGATACTAGTGCCGCAGCTGAAGAAATGGCCCAGTACTTAGCCGATCGAGATCTTGTTGCTATATTTCAAATGCCCAAAGCAAGGTTCGCCCCGATTGTATTTTGCTATCCGGCAAAATCAAGGAGCTTTGGTTTCCTCAATGGGAGATCCAACAGTAGCCAGGGCGGATCTCTGCGCCTAGCGGGATGGAATGGCGCGTTTTCTGTTGATAAATTCAATGCCGCGCGTCTGAGACAAGCAGGAAGTCCGCGTGACACATCCGCTCCTCAGCGGCCAGAGAGGCAAGGACGTTTTGACGAGACAGTCGGTTCTGGGGTGGTCGGTTTTCTCGCTTCGAAAGGCTCCTTGAGGATTGATACATCGACTCCGAACAAGGAGCCCCAACCGCCTAGCTTACAGTCGAGTGACACCCCTACAGACCCCAAGAATTCTTATCCTGACAGATTCAGGCCTCATGGACAGTCTGGTGCTGAAGGGCCATCATTAAACCAAGATCCACGGATATCCTCAAGGGCACAGTCAAGTAACACTCCTACAGATCCCAAGAACTCTTATCCTGATAGATTCAGGCCTCACACACAGTCTGGTTCTGAAGGACCATACTCAAACAAGGATCCACGAATATCCTCAAGGGCACAGTCGAGTGACACCCCTACAGACCCCAACCACTCTTATTCTGACAGATTCAGGCCTCAAATACAATCTGTTGTTGAAAGGCCAGCACCAAACAAAGATCAACAAAAAACTTCTAGCATGATCCCCAGCACAATCGACCCTTCAAGTGTTAAAGGATTACCCCCACGACCGCCTTCTAATGTGCACTCTGGAGACCTTTCCAGTGCACAAGACTCCCTCCCTGGTCGGAAAGATCCGTCAAGTGTTGAAGGATTACCCCCACAACCACCTAGCATGCAGCCTAACGTGCAGCCGCAAGATCTCTCAAGAGAGAAAGACTCTACTTCTAACAAAGAGTCTGTACCTAGCAGGAAGGATTCCTCAGATGCTGAACGGTTGCAACCAAACAAAGAGCTCCAGCCTATCAGTGACCTTCCAA